GTGCTGTACTTGCTGCTTAATTGTCTCTGTCAAACAGAGGGAAGCTCTAGTACAAAGTCAGGTGTTAAGCAGTGCTAGTAAACTGGGCCAACTTACGATGGTGTTCACCTGGGGGCCTCAATGTGTAACTACCTGGTCTCAAGAAACCCAGTATCCCTGTACATATAGCAATAATTGCAATTAGCAACTATGAAAACCTCACTAAGAAGTACAGCAAATCCAGGTTTGGCTGAGACAGGAGGTTAGTACCGTATATTTCAAAAACCCGAATTTGGAGTCTGTGCACAAACATACACACAGGAGTCACTTCACATACACATGGAATCATTTCCATTAAAAAAAACCCAGGTATTATTTTCCAATCATTTCTGAAACAGAAGCGCATATGTAACCCACCATCCCAAAACCAGGCTGAAGTCGGTATTTGTGATGTTGGACAATTCCTCTCCTTCACCTTTTGTTTTTCAAATTCTGTCTGCTGTAAGCTTCTTGCGGGTAGTGATAGCCATAAAACTCCCATGAAAATCTGAGCAGTGAAGATTCCACTATTTTAGGGTTATGGAGTTACCTACTTCGGCCTGGTTTTGGGATGGTGGGTCACATATGCACTGCTTTCTATTTTAAATTGGGATCTGGTTCAGGTCTCTGAAGAAAAGGCAGAATAAAGCAAGCTGATTACTTTACCTCACAGTACAGTGGATTTAGTATCCTTACGCAGTACAGTAAATAGTCGTGTATGATCTTGAAACAAAATTAGTAATAAAGTGATTTTAAAGCTTAACATAAACTAACATGCACTAAGACTCAAAGCAATGGACAAGTCTGTCTTCTCCATTTTGAATGCTGTTGTCTTGCGATCATATGTAAAAAGTATTTCTACACCTCCAATTTCATTGTATTTTTTTTCTGAAGTGTTATACATACAGAAAGACATTACTGACAGTTAAATATGAAATGCCATCCAAAAAGTTGTAAAATACTTGTGTGCTGTGCATGTTACCGTGTTCATAATTCCATGAACTTGAATGAAACACATTCAGAACAACACATCCTGTATCAAAAAAATTCCATAAAGATAGAGTTGAGTCGAGCCATAGGGTATGTACAACCCCTGTACGTACATGTTGCTGCCCAATGTTAGCGACCTGTGGTACCGTATTAATTCCCTTTTGCTACACAAGAAAAGCCAGCTATTAACAGAGGTACACTTTCTTTGAAGAGAAATCTGAATCTTGATAAAATATATGACTTCAGTGAAGGTTACCCCCTCCAATTCATTGATAACATTGGGTTACTGTATTATGAAGACTTTTATCTGCTATGCATGAGATACAATCACACTGCAATTAAATTGAATGGCAAAGGTGGCAACGGTGGAGTGGTTGAGCCAGTGAAAGTGGGGCACGTTGAGCTACATGTTTGTAACTTGATATGAGCCTGGTGACTACAGCAATTCTTCCAGTCTATAATATCACAGTGAATATGACAAAGAAAAAAATGAAATATCTAATGATGGGATGGAGATAATAAAGGGCAATTTAATTGTTGTCAGTGCTATGCTGTGAAGCAAACATGATTACATGTATACATGTAAACATGTATACAATGTTTTCTTGCAGAAATTCTGCTTGTGTTGATTCCGACTTCCAAATACGAAATGTCCCAAACCAAGAGGGCACAGCAACTTTCTTCCTCCTGGACATCACCCTCAAACTTTCAAAGCCAAAGATTTTTTGGGAATCTTTCTAATGGCCCCATCTACTAAAGCAGCTCCTGAAACAAAGTACTATGTATTTGCCATTTGTTTTCAAAAGTTTGACTGTTTAAAATTTGACTGGCATATTTTGCTTAATATTTCTCTCTATTTCAAGTCACAATTTCAAGACTGAAGTGCTCTGTGGCAGACTTTAAGAACTTTTAAGATATTACATAACACTTGACATGCAAGACATAATATTGCACTGCAAACTGTGTCTCACTTGATATAATTTAACATCTTAAATATAACAATACAGGGTATGATTAACTGACAGCATATTTTCAAGTTTCGTTTGGATCATTCAAATGATAAGTACGATACTATTTGCTTGATATGGCTCATTAATATTGTCGCGGGTTCACCGTTGAAACGGGCAAATTAAAGGGCAGTCACACAGATCTATACTTCACAGCTGGTTTAATTCCGGGCACAGATCCAAACGGTCCAAGGTCAGAACATGAACTCCCAATCTACAATCTAGCGGGGCTAGTTATACAGGTTGGGCTTGTTTTTACAGAGTATTAAGAACAAAACATTCCATCATAACATTTACTAATAAGTCACATAAGGTGGAACAAAACACCATGCCGTGTAGCGAACATTAGTGTCTCATGCTCACCGCAAGAGGGCGCCAACGCGACCAAGCAAGCAAGTGCGCGCTGTTTACATGTGGTTCTGATAGCGCCCACGCAGCGGTAACTCGACTGTGCACTGTCAATGCACGCTGGAGACGCGACGTGAGCGAACTAATAATCGCAGAGCGCGCTGTCAGGTAATAATACCAGAAATAACCAATAATCATTAACTAATAATCGATCAACAGTTCTTGTTGAGTAATTTTACAACAATATCTTAGATGCAAGGTCATTTTAACATGAAAAGGCTCAATTTGCCCACCTCCCCCATGCCATGTTCCCAAAAAGGAATGTTCGCTCAAGCAGGGTGCTGGGAAGGGCTGATAGCCTTGCACAGATTTTAGTGAAGGAAATATGTCACAAGGGTTAGCTGTAGCTAACAACGTGCAGAGTACTGTGGGTAAATTTCTGCCAGGCATGTAAGCTCGCTCAATGCGTTACATAAGCGGCAGTTATCTATTCAATATTTTTCTTTTTCTTCCTCATTGCTGAAAATATTCTCACTACACTTTATTCGTTCATCCAAAACGGATCAAGATAACCAATGATTTGAAATACATCGCCAAAAGACGGTGATCAGTGATACTTGGTGAGAAGATAAGTTACCGCACTGTGATTGTACCAAGGCAATGTTTTCATTACAGCCAACACTTTGCCTGTGCCAAAGCATTTTCATTGGTGAACAAAAAATTCAAATAATGCTTTGCTTACAGGAAGTGACAAACTCGCAGTCACAGGTCTTGCACAATGTAGCCAATAACAGTGCAAAGCCATCTGCCATTCCCAGCAGCCTGTTCAAGTGCTGGGTGATGAGCAAAAAGTGCCTGTTCCTCCCCCATGCCATGTTCGCAAAGTGCATGCAGACAACGCTGGATTTTTAAAAATGCATGCACAAAAGAAAAAGTCAAACATAGAAAGTTCAACATTTCAATTCAACACAATTTTCCACACTTTCAACTGTTGACAGTGTTTATTCTTGGGTCATTCTATAATTCAGGTGACTTGGAAATATAACTGAAATTGACTTCAAACCATTGTTATTTGTTTGGCAGGTAATTTGCACTTTACACTTTAATCTTGGAAATTGAAGAATGTGTTCTGAACTTACAAAACCATACATGTAGGTCAGATGTAAAAGATATGAAAAAAAAAATGATCCCAAATTTTAGACCTTTATGCACCATACATTCAGTGCAGTATAGTACACTATAGTTGCATGCAACACGACACTGAACAGTGGTACTACTTGAAAATAAATGAAATCAACATATTAAGGAGTTCATTTTCTTAATTATCAGATAGAGGAAGGACACAAAAGGAGTTTGAACTGCCCCGGCTACAACAGCTGACCAATTACCACTTTCTGGCATGCTCGGTATGTCCATAGCCAGAGCGCAGAAAGTGCTTGCTACATACTATCTGTTTCACAATCTTGAAACCCTGATTATCAGCAGTTTTTTACTGATAATCCGAACCTTAACCACTTCGTGCTGGGCCCATTTATCCATGTTGATTCTGCTGGGCCGGGTGACTTTTCAATTTTTTCTGTTTTCAAAATTCTTGAAAAATTTATAACTTCGTTTACAGGAAGTTTACACCCACATGAATGACTGCCTGGTGGCTACTCTAATCTGACAGACAACATCTATTGACACCTGAGTATTTAAGCCAGGCCTGCCACCTTTTGAAAAGAGTCCAGATTGTGCAGTGTTATATAATTTTCTTTTGTTCCCGAAACCAGCACAGTGCGCTGCTGACATCTTTTCAATAGGGGCCAGATTAGCATGCAGCGATATTGTATTGTTTCATCACTGGAGCACTTTTGTCCCCAGTCGTAAACCTCTCGCGCTGAATGCCACAAACAGAGGTATAATCTTTCAAATAATAATGGATTTCCTCCACTACTGATGACTGAAACAAATGTTGGCGATTCCCAGCAGCTCAGTCTTTTGTTCTGAGTACAGTCTTTTGTTACAAGGCCCACCTCTTTCGTCCCGGCTTTGTGTATAAAGCCTATGTGCCCAAAACCGGGTACCCCGGCACAAAGTGGTTAAAACTTTGTGTACCGTGGTAAAGGAAATTGAATATTCATGCATTTGTTGGTGTTTGGTATGATCTCATAACAAAATTAATGCTTAGGCAGTTGCTTGTATTATACCATGAGCCCTAAATGTACATGTGCAGTCACTGCCCTTAACGAACGCTTTCTTCTGGAGTTATTTTGGGAATAAATTGCCCCGTTCACAAGATTTCGTGTTTTGTTTGAATTATTTTTATTATGGCATTTGTACAAAGCATATTTTTCGATATTTCATGATCACTCCCTCCGATGAAATAGCACAATCTGTTCCTTATGAACTTAGCTTTCAGTAGTCAACATTTTGTTGGCCAGTTTTAGTCAAATTTGTACCAAGTCTTCGAAAACTGATGTATTGGAGGGAGGGGAATAAAATTGCAAACTCTGCATGGATAATGGAACAGTGTATCAAAATTTAAAGTTTATTCACAGTGGCAAAAGCGCGTCTAATATCAGGGATTTTTCTCTCTCTATTTCCTGGTCAGGGCAATAATTTGTAATTAATTTCAAGCAAAACACTACAAGTATCACTAGGATATTACTGGCCTCGCTTGTCTAGCTAAGATGCAGGCAGTCATCAGGCAGTTTTGGAATGTTTTCTATTATCAGTCTCACTCAGCAGCGACAATTATTGAACACTTTAAAGTACCAGAGTTGCACCTCCTTCTGTGTTCTTCCTCTATGATTATCCAAAAATTTGAGCTGAGCTGATAATAGTGTTTTAGTGGTACATGTGTATGTACTGCATTATACAATACGTGACAGTTGTGTTTTTAATACACAACAAAAGGAAGCTGAGAAAAGGTGCAATGGAAGATAACTACGCACAACAAGACTTTCCCTGGAAATACGCTATTCACATTTACAAGGCAAAGTCTACCATTTTTCATCTACCTCACTGACTGAGACATGTGGAGTGGTGTCAACATTTCTTCAAATGTTGCATTCTTAACATTTGCCCCTCGTAGATTAGCCTCTTGAAGATCACAGCCAGTCAGATTACAGTTCTGTGCATGGAAAAAAAGCAGGAATTCTTCTTTGTATTGCAGCCTCTAATGAAACCTTATTTAAATAAAACAATTGTGTACAAGTCTTAACATGGAAAATGAACATATCTTTACAGCACCCTGGTAAAGGTTGATATTCAAGTGATATGTAGTATTATAATACCTCACTCACAGATTATTTCCAACAAATTAAAACCACACATGGTCCAGGTTTGGATGGAAAAGAAATAGAGATAGAGACAATTAATATTTTGGGTGGGTTGGAATAAAACAAGACTTATTGGTGGGATGGGGGAAAAATAAACACTACACTTGGTACAGGTTTGGGAAAAAAGAAAAGCTGACACTGATTAACATTTTGGCACTGATTAACATTTTGGTGGGTTGTGCCATTTTATTGAATGCTCTGATAAAAACAATTAAGCAGTCGGGCTGGGTAAAAATATACACCACATGTGGTCTAGGTTTGGATAGAAATGAAATGCTTGGATGCGGGCAATTAATATTTTTGGCATTTTCTGAATGCCTGGCATAAAAAGAAAAAAGATTTAGCGGTGGGACAGGGAAAAAACACATGTGATCCAGGTTTGGGTAGAAAAGTACAGAGCTCTGGGCATGCCATCTGTCTTGTTAGGATCCTGACATATATTTTCTTGGTATATATTTTTCTTTCATTTACAAAACATACTCTTTTCTCTCAAAGTATAAACTTTATTGGAGTTGTGTTTAGAACAGTGCCCTGCAAAGGAATTTTGCCCTCAACTGCCATGCATCCCTGAATAATCAGCAAAATACTGCAGATGATCGGCTCCACAAAGAAATTCAGTGGAAATGCAATTGAGGAACAATGCACCTGGAAAAATGGAGAGGGTTTATGAGCTACACATAGATGAGCAGCGGATTAACTAGTACTGCCACTTGGCCCAGCTTGTGTGATAGACAGGGTGTCTTTCGTTGCAAGATTTGCCCAAACAAAAGGGGGATTAATGACCACTAGGTCAGGCTTTGGCTGAACTTGTCAGTGGCTCAGACGCAGTGTTTATAGTGTCATGCTCCCTTTAAGATTTGGTGAACATTTCTTAAACAGCCAGTCTTTGGCACTTTTCTCAATCTGACTGACCATGTATTAGGTAGGTGTGCACTCTTAGTCCCCCAGCTAGAGAGGGTCCAAGAACAAAATCATGTGAATGACGTTCTCAGGTGTCAGGTGACATGGCAATAAAGGTACCAACTTCAAAGCCTTATATCTTGTGAAGTACACATCCAATTTGGTTGAAACCTTGCAGGTATCTAGAAAGGGAAGTGTCATGAACAAAAGTGACCTCATGTGATGATGACATTATGTGACAAGTTACGTGACATTAAATGTGCACCCTTCAAATAAGTATATCTCATGAAGTATATGTCTGATTGGGTTCAAACCTTGCAGATACCTGGAAAGGGGTGGGCATTAGACAAACATTGACCTGCTGTAACAATGACTTCATCAAGGGACAAGTCACGTGAAATTAAGGGTGCACTCTTCGAAGCACTGTATCTTGTGAAATAATGTCCCATTGGGTTCAAACCTTGCAGATATCTTGAAAAGGGGAGGGCTATGTACATTGAGTCATTGACCTGATGTGATGAAGATGTCATCATGTGACAATTCATGTGACATTAAAGGTGCACGATGTAAAGCCGTATATCTCATGAAGTACAAGTCCGATTGGGTTAAAACTTGACAGATTGCAAGAAAGTGATGTCTCACATATGAAAACTGACCTGATGTGATGACGTCATCAGGTGAAGAGTCTTGTGACATTAAATGTTTATGCTTTAAAGCACTCTATCGTCAATGTCTGCTTGCCATAAAATCCTGTGTGTAGACTGTCAAGGAGGTTCATCACGGGTTGCAGACAGTAAAAACAATGAAACCAGGGCCAGAGCACACTTTTTAGTTATTGATTTTAATGATATACATATTTTACAGGCAACAAATCAGTACAGTACTCAGATTTTATACTGTTTTCACCTAAGTCTGTCAGTTGATAGCTGCCATGTGTTAAAACACACCCACACTTGTTTCACATATCTAGTGCAGACATATCTTTGTTCTCCCATGGTTAAGAAAACATACACTCACCTTTTTTTAGGAGACGAGACCAAAATACACTGTAGGGACACCCCAAATCAGTCTTGAATTTCCTAACAAAAGAAATTGTCCTCTTAACCCTAGGCAAGTTGACCTTATCGTTGATCAAGGAGACCTCCCGAAACTCATCTTCCAGCATACAGGCCTCATAAATCAGAATCCGTCATAGCAAAAGACCAAAGTGGGACCAAAACACAATACAGTAGTTCATGTTCCACTCCCACTGGTAGAATAATCAAGAATACTACAAGACTTACCTCTAGATCTGTTCCTGCTAATATTGCCCCTCTAAGGTTTGAATTCTTCAGGTTAGCATTCTTCAAAGTTGCAACTCTGAGGTTCACCCCAGCCATCTGGCTGTTTTCTAAATTGACACCTTTCATGTTGACACCTACAGATAACCAAAATAGGCTGATCTTATAAATCTGGACTACAACTGTTACATGCAGAGAATCCGCATTAAGGTCTGTACATGTACACACTTTGCTTGAAAGCAAACACAAATGCAGAATTGTGACATGGGATTCAATATTTGCTCAATGCATTCGCAAAAGTTGAACACATCTCAGCTTAAAGGTAGTGAACACCATTGGTTTTTTGTCGTAATTTCACGAGATTGGCCGATCACGCAGTTTTCAATGGCTAGGAGTAACCTGTGAATTTACCTTGGAGTAATGCACCTCCTAGACAATGTAGCATTGCAGATTCATTAAAAAATGTCCCTTGTGTCCATGAACGAGTAGGCCTATGATAATGCACATGCGCACGGGATTGCATACTTAATGACTGCACTTTCATGTCAGTTTACACATCAAGAAAGTCTAAAAACTCCAGTCTTAGTTGATTCATTAATAATTATAAGCAAAGAAGAAATTATGTCTTGAAACACAGAGGGTCAAATGTGTGGAAATCATACTTTTTGCCCAGAACAGCCACCATATTTGGATCATACCATTATGCAATAGGGGTGATTTAGAATTTTGAGCATTTGCTCGTTAAGAAAATTTTCCACTTTACACCTTACATTCAGATTCCTATCATTTTAGGATTTCCTATCATTACAATGCTTTTGGTGAATTTCTGTCGCCAAACTTTTAGCTGCTTTTCGGTTTACCCGTTCATTAATGGAGACTCCCACTATGCCTAGTGAAGAATGTGATGTGCGAAGTGAAATGAACTCTTACACAATGGTTTTTTGACGGCCGACCATTGAAAAAAAAAATTATGTTTTCTCAAAGACTACAGCATTCTGGGCGGAAATATTTCACAGACTATTGGTTCTTATGTACTTTCTTTCAAGTAAGATACTTCAGGATGATACAATAGTTCGATTTGGAGGATTTTACCAATGGTGTACACCACCTTTAAACATATTTTGCTGCATCATCAAATTTGCTTTACAATGTAAATCACTTTTGCATTTGTCTGAATTATCAACTGGCATTTATTCCAGTTTGACATGTGGAACAGCAAAATTGAAGTGTGTCAAACATTGGTAACAGCAACTTTGATTCTATCATTTGGATAAACATAATTGGCCACCCAATGGCTCTGTTTATTTTCATGGTTCGTGCGAAACATTTCGTCCAACTATACTGGTAAAAAAATCAGCCTTCATGGATCACAGTTACAGTATATTTGTAAACTCTATTAATAAAAAAATTCTTCTCTATAACAACAAAAATGTGCATACAAGTCATTTGAAAGTCTCTTTCAAGAGTTTTGCGGCTTACACCAAACAATGTGTATATTAGTCTTTGCAAATTGATTTTTTGAACCATTCACAAAATGTTGAAATGGCAATTACCTGTAAATACCAATTTACAAATTTTGTTTTGATAGACAAATGAAGTACAAAGACGAATTATCATCAAGAGAGTTGTTTGTACTTGCGCAATTGTATCGTCAAAAATCTCGATTTCTCATACGTTTAAAGGGGTAAAAATCCTTGGCGTTAACATGAACTTGTCAATATCATATGGAACAATTTTTAGATCAATGTAAAAGAACAAACTACAAATTCAATGAAAAAAAGACTGCTTATTCATTTCAATCAACTGATAACTGCCTGCTGCGTAGACTAAAATTGACACTGAAACTTTTAATACCTGACCTTGCTTTGAATAACGATATCTCAAAAAACATATTGAGGTGTATTTTTTTGCTACCTCTATTCAAGGCTTGAAATAACACCAACCTTCCAGGTTAGCTTTTCTTCCATGAGGATCTTCAAAATTACACCCTATTAATGTAGCACCTTCAAGGTTGGCAAGCACCATCCGAACACCCTGCAGATTTGCACCCTAAAATTAAGCAATTAAGTGATACATCCAGATTAAGCTCACTTAGTGTGTGATACAGAATAACAAGCCAATTTTGTTGCTTTTGACAAGCCATTTTACTTTGTGGCTATTTAAATTACTCTTAACCCTAAAAGCACTGGGGGAAAATACATCCCCCCCAAAAAAAATTTTTCCCAATTTCGCCACAGTGCATTTTTTTCAGGAGCTGAGCCTTTAGGAGTTTTTAGAGTAACTCTTTTTGGTCAGTTTGACACCAACTGTGTAAATATCAAACATACCGTTCTTGTGCAGTGTATATGTTGCTGAGACAGGTGAGCCCAAAATGTATACTTTTTCGACTGCAGTGCTCAATGTACATGGGCTAACACACATGTAAACATGAACTTCAAATAACCGTAACAACAAAACCATGTGTTTGATTTAGTTCAGCCTTCAAGTTTATAATGAAAACGACAGTCTCAAGCGTGGCACAGCCGAGACATCATGGGGGATGCAATCTTTCCCCACCCAGCTGTGAGATGGGCCAAAATAATCCGGCTCTTTTGAGAGGGTTAATCTTGTACAAACCAGTGGCACATAAGTATAAGGTAATTTATTTAACTACAGTCTTAATCTTGAGCATCAGTGAAAGTTGGGTGTTTTAATCTTTGACAAGTCAGCTATTCACATGCTATAAAATGATTCACAATTTAGTACATCACCACAAGGCAACAAAGATAGGCAAATTTCAAAGCACAGAAAAACAGTCAAGACACAGTTTTTCCTTTGCATGGGGACTCAATGTTTTCTTGGGGTCTTTTGAACAGGCCATGTGGTTTAAGATTTGAGTATAAATAACTATGAAACTTTAAGGGTCAAAATACACAATTATATGATGCTGCAAATGAAAATGAAGAGAAGACGAACCAAAGGGTACCACACATAAGCTCTCAACTGTAATGTGAAAATTAAGCTGGCTTCTTAGAGGCAAATTAATGCTTGGGGTTGGGCATAATTGTGAATCACTACAACATGTTTGAAGTGATGTAGCACAGCAATAGTTAAGAGGCTGTCAAGGGGCATACTCATGACACTGCTTCCATTTAACTTTAGAGTAACCATGTGCATGACTTCAGAACTCTCCCCTAAATATAATGTTTTTCTGGGATGCCAGACATAAGCCATTTTCCAAATTAATAACAGTAATAACAATCAATTATAATGTGCAGATTCCACATACTGTGTTCCAGTGCGTAGTACATTAATACAAAATGCGATAAAAGTTAAAAACGGCAAATACATTGTAAAATACTAAGCAACAACTTAATATCCACGTTACAATTTCACAATACGAAGCTAAATCATTGAGCAGCAGCCTTAAACAGATGTGTATTAGTTTAGTTCTATAAATGTTCGAACATTGAGCTGTCTTGATATCGGAACAAAGTTTGTTTCATAAATATGGTGCTGCATAAGACAATGCCCTCATCCGGTCATCCCTGGTGTTTCAACATTCTACCTTGAGGATATTTTAATTGGAGGTTGCTGTTTGACCGCAGTGAGTATCGAGAATTGACTTTGATGGTTAACAGGTCAGTGAGATATCGACGAGCTATGCCACGAAGAGCCTTGAATGTTAACAATATTTTAAACTGAACACGAAATCCTACTGGCAACGAGTGCATTTGACAAAGTATTGGGGTAATATGAGTTCATGATGATGCACCACATACAAGCCTGGCTGCTGCATTCTGCACTCTTTGTAGTTTGGCTAATTGTGAATGATAGAGACCACGAAACAAATTGTTGCAATAATTGAGGAGACTGGTTATAAAGGTATGAACCAAGACAGCCAAGGAACTCCTAGTCAAGTATTTTCTTACACACCTAATATCACGAATGTGATAAAATGCCAGAGAACATATTTTTGCTGATCCATGCATAGGTGAGAATCGAACCATGATCCCTAATTACGTACATACGATGATGTGGATATCTTAGCATTTCCAACTGAAAGGTCAAGAGTATTGAATTTAGCAAACTGCTGTCAAGTACCAATAATAAAAAACTCAGTCTTAACATCATAAATCTATCTTGCAACATCCACTGTCTATTAACATCATGGATACAATTCTCCATAGCAGTCACAGCCTTATCCTGATTAATAGAATTGCAAGGTTTAAACTATAAATATAATTGGGTATCATCTGCATAGCAGTGAACATTGGGGAGGTGACAATTAACCACATCAAACAGTTTGGATGAGAGTAAAATGAAGAGTAACGGACCCAACCAAGATCCCCATGGGACCCCACAAATAAGATTGAAATCATCAGACAAAATACCTCACATAACTACATGCTGACTCCTACAAGAGATGAATGAAACCAACCTAGTGCTGTACCTGATACACCAAACTTAGATTGTAGTCTATCAAAAGAATGTTATGATCCACCGTGTCAAAAGAGGCAGTATGATCTAATAGTACCAACAAGGTAACGTGTCAAGAATTCATTTTCATCAAGATTACTCCCAAACAGAAATGTTGGTAAGGTCTGCTATTGAATACCTACTCAAACAGTTGCTAAATATTCAAATTCCTTGGCATCTGATTCAATTCGCTAGAACTTCTGATCAACTGTAGTGCACCCTCTAGTCCCATGATACATAGCGGAATGGCCACCATTTTTGTCCTTTTCTGGTATTAAAACCATCCTAGCCAAAAGTGGGGAAGGATGGGAAGGAGGCGACTGTTTGGGGTAGGTATTCAATAGCAGACCTCACCCACATTTTCTTGGAAGGAGGAGTGTTCTGCTTTCAACCTACCCCAAACAGTCGCTAAATATGCAGAGTAGCACTGAGCCCTTGAAGGGGGTGCGGCGAGGACGCACTACATAACATGTGCACTAAAAGAGTATGAAATTGTCCAAACTTTATAACCGACTCACCTAATAATGGAGTTGTTATGTCGTTCCAGTGGTGGGTCGCTTTGATGAGGAACCCTTCGGCATTGATGTGGCCAATGTTAGGACTGCTCAGCCATGTGCAGAATCCTTTTTCAGAACATCAATGAGGTAGCATGTGGTGCAAGTAGATGGGGTCTTTCAGTATGCTGACTTGCATATTTCCTCCATCGGTATGCCCCTGAAGCAGGCCCATGGTGTGGAAACTGCTTGGGCATCATGAGCTCTGATGAGGCATAGTGTTTTATTGTCCACAGAGTTCGGCCAATTTGGGTTGGCAAACTTGATAGCCGAAACTGTCCATCTGGCTAAAGTGTCTCTGGTCGCAGCTCAGTGAGGCTTTATTGCAGTGAAAAGCTGCAAAGTTAAACCTCTGAGTTTCTGGTTTTGGCTAAAGTACCATTTAAGAGTTTGCACTGGGCACCATGGTTTGTCGTCAGGAGTCCCAGTGTGTTTGGTAATGTCTGGTACAAAAATGTCAGGAGGATGGAAGGAAACTGACTGGTTCTTGGTGAGAAACCCCAGCATTGGGATGAGACAAACACCATGGGGTTCAATGATGCGTCGCCGAGAGGCTTAAAGGGGGGACCAGCAAGTAGTTGGAGACCAGCTCACAAGTCCCATGAAGGGATTAGTCTCTTAGTCGGGGGATATTCAAGAAACTTTCCCCGGAGTAGATGTTTATGAGCAGTATTGTTAGACACGGTCAAGCTATCTGAGAAGCCATCATGTTTAGCTGCAATGGCTGACTGGTAGTTACGGATAGTTGAAACCTGCAGATCTGATTTGAACAGGTGCATGAAAAAATCAGCTATAGTAGTCACAGAAACTTCGGTCGGAGCAAGACCTTGCTCTGAACACCACAAAGTAAAATGTCGTAATCTGAAGTCGTAGATGCCGCGCTGCACAAAGACTAGCGTCCACTCTTCAAGGCCATATTGGCAGCTTCATCAGTAAGTCCTGCTGATATGAAGAACTGTTTGACAATAGCCAACAGGTCAGGTGTAGTGACGTTGGACGTCTAACTTTGGTTGATGTAGCAGATCCGCTCTGTATGGAAGGATTACCGGTCCCCGAATGAAAAGTCTTGTCAGATGGAGTGGCCAGAAGGGGGCGACAAAGATGAAGTTGTAGTGGACGCATATACAGCCTGCAGAGGGAATGAGGTCCACTATGCTGGCCATCAAACCGAGGACACAGAGCCAGGTGCAGGTCACAGCCGACTGCTCGTTAGAAAAGACTTTCACGCTGTCAAAAAGGTTGTCAATGCATTCGGTCGTTGGTGAGAATATACCTCTGTAAAGGTCGACAGGTGCCCCTAGATAAGCCGGGTATTGTGTTGGATTGAGATTTGATTTCTCATGGTTGATAATGTAGCCTAGGCGATTCGTGATGTCGCAAGTAAGGTGGGTAGAAACCTCTGTTTCTTTTAACAATCTACAAATGATCGGCCAGTCGTCCAGGTATTGGAACAGCATGATGTCCTGCTTTCGATGGTGAACAACGATGATCTTTGCAATCCTTGAAAACACTCTCAGTGAAGTGGAGAGGCCGAAGGGGAGAGCTATGAAATCGAAGAGGTTCCCATTGTATAGGAAGCATAGGTAATCGTAGTTTTGTGGGTGAATCAGGATGTGAAGGTAGGCATCTTTCAAGTCTATGGAAGAGGCCCAACATGGAATCTTTTGAGATTGTGTGACCATCCGAAGGGTTTCAATGCGAAATTTCCTTGGGCCGATTAAGAGGTTTGAGGTTGATAATAGGTCGCCAGCTGTTGAGTACCTTCTTTGGAGTGAGGAAGAACATTGAAATGAAGCCCCCGTTTGCTTGAGATTTGGGAACCAGGCAGATAGCATGTTTCTAAAGGAGAGAGTCTATCTCGGGCTCCAGTGCCTGATGTTTGCTTCTGTTGGTAAGAACTGAAGTTGGACAGAGGATAAGTACAGATAGAGGGGTGCATGTGAATTAGAGGGTGTATCCGTAATGAATGGTCGCGAGCACCCAGCTGTCTGATGTGACTTTCTTCCAAGACCCTGCAAAGAGTTGGAGTTGCCTGCCAACGGGTCTGGGATCAGCAGGTGGAGGCCAGTCTGATTAGTCAGTGGCGTCTACCTCCTGGAGGTTGGGGGTAGTGTGACACAGTAGTTCTTCCCTTGAAGCTCCTCCGGGGTGGTCGTAGGTCGAGAGGAGGATGGAGGGCTGCGATTCGTCTGGTAACTGGGTTGATGAAAAAGGAAGGGGCAAAAGGAACGAGAATTGCCCTGACGCGGAGGTCTGAAGGGTCTAACCCGGTGGTCATAAGGATGGGATTGGCGAGGTTGAGCCGGCAGTGAAGGTTCACTGAAGCTAAGTTTATGTGTTGTGTCCATGCACTTAACTTCCGACTCCATCATCTCCATGAGCTTCCCAGCGAAAAGGTCTTTGCTGTAAAGGGGACGTTCTTGAAGTCTTGACTAGACTCCCTCATAAGGAATGTTCATGGCATCTAAGGTGTTGGATCTGCGTGCAGAAGTGGTTAAAACGGAGATCCAAACGAACTGCTCGAAAATAGAGTTGACTTCTCATCGAGTGCTTGAAGTGCGACAGCTGCCGAGTCCCGAGTAACTGGTGTATCTTTGTCACACGCTTGGGCCAAATACTCAGAGAGGAGTGCCATAAACGCAGTGCAGCAAAGACCACGTTGTGAAGCTTTGTCAAGTTTAGCAAGACAAGACTTGATGAAACACTTGTCTCTGTCTTTAAATGGAAACTTTCCTGTAGGCTTGTGAGTGTTGGAAGAAAAAATATTTTTAGCCTCAGATGGAATCTCAGGCACAGAGAGGAAGTTGTCAAAGTCCTCTTTAGCAAACTGGAAATAAGTCCATGCTCTGAGTGGGTATGGATGCCATTCTGTGGCACCGGCAAGAACTTTAAACATCTTGACGCATGAGCAGTCAAGTGGAAGTTCCGGGAAAATCGGTATTAATGCCTCCAACCTAGCAGGGTGGCGCTTGAAGGAAGCATGTGAAGAGGCCTCAGCCGTAGATTGATTAGAAGGCAGCCCAAATATGTGTATGATATCTTTCTGAAGAAGACAGAGCCATGTGTCAGGAGGGTTAAGATGCGGAGGAGATATCCTCTTCTTCAGAGGACGTATTCCGTTCCATCTGGAGTTGATCGGAGGAAGGAGGAACGTTGTCATGTCTTGTTGAGTGGCCAGGGCCAGAGTAGGAAGTGAGCTGTAGTCTGTGGCAGAACCTGGGTAAGTCGAAGGGAAGAAACCGTCATAGCAAGATCAGATTGTCAATGAATGCAGGTTCGGATAAGGATGATGTTCCACAGGCAAAGGGTCCAGATCTGGAGCCATCGCCGGGGGAACAGGATAGGGCTCTAGATGGCTGGCTATAGAAGAGAGCTTCTCCAAGAGCATGTGGACCGCTGACATGATGTCAGCTGAAGCGTCTTCCTTGTGTGAGGAGTGAGACTTCTTGCGCTTAGATCCCGTAGAAGATGGTGATGGTGTGCCCACATGGCCCGGTATTGTCTGTGCAGGGACCGCTCAGGAGAGCAGTGTTGCCTTGTCCCGTGGAGAGTCAGACCCAGCTAGCGGGGGAAATTTTGACCCCAAGTGCAGCGCCATTCTGCAGTATCGTTGACTGCGATGCTTCAGTGTTACGTTGGGGAACTGAGTGTTTGGATACCGCATGCACTGCAGCTCAGACCCTTGAAGCATGGCATGGGCTAACCCTGAACTGAACCAAAGGTGGTATTGCCAGCAGGGGTTAGCCGCGGATTCACAAGTATAGCACAGATGCCACTTCTGTCGGTCTATAAGGGAATGTGAGGTTGCGGAATTTGGAACGCTTGCACTTCCTCGCGAACCCCAACAAACCCAGGGTCTCTTAGTTGACCCTACAGTATATATATATATATATACCAAGGAAAGAGGGGGACCATGGTATTGGATCACTTGCACGGCCTTGCAGAACCCCCAACAATCCCAGGGTCACCCTGTTGACCCTATGCATGGCTTGGTAGTATAATAGCATAGACTCAACAATCTATACAATGCACACACATGAGAAGAGAAAAATACCACCAACACAAAAAATACACACAATAACTCATAAATATAGAGTGTACGTTCATTACAATACATTACAGTTTGATCAGAATATCACAAAGGTGTGGAAAGGAAATGGAAACTTAAGGATGTCAAAAAGACACATCCTTTTAGAATTGCTGAGGAAAAGAAGGATGAACATGGTGGCCATTCCGCTATGCATCATTGGACTAGAGGGCGCACTACAGTTGATAAGAAGTTTTAGCAAATTGAATCAGACGCAAAGGAATTTGCATATTTAGCGACTGTTTGGGGTAGGTTGAAAGCAGGAGACATCATTGTGCACTCTTAGTAGGGCTGTTTCTGTACTGTGATTTTTCCTATAAGCCAATCGTAACAATGGGTACAATGAATTCATTATGATGTGCTATGAAACTGGTCAAAAACTGCTTTCTTGGTCAGCTTCCATAAATACAGAAGATTACTAATCAGGCCGTGATGCTGAAAATCAATGGGGTCCGAGTTATCCCTTTGTAATAATGGAAAAATCACAACCTCTTTCCAGTTACTTGGGAGACACCTGTTTGTAACGATGAGTTTATGATCATGGTCAAAATGGGCAAAAGAACATCAAAACAATCAAGTTATGTACGTTACCACAACAAATGTCTATCAAATATGAATGGACTAATACATGCCATTCAATCCATTCCATGGGCCAAAGCACTGAACACACCTACATGTATTAGTACAATAAATCATCCTAGTACATATTGTTTTGACCCAGGAACACAACTTACATCCATCTTTGCCCCTGCCATGTTTGTACGCTCCAGACAACAGCATGACATATTAGCACCGGACAAATCTGCCTTGCTGAGATTTGCTAATTTCAGATTGATGTATCTGAGATCCAGATTAGATAGGTCTGCACCTTCAAAATTCATCCCCTGAAATCACAAACAATTCAAAAGTTACGTACTAATAGTCATTTTGCAATAAGCTGAGTTTAAATGTGCCTGCTAAATAGAAAAATTACTTGTAGGTAGAAAGGTTGGGTGCACGAATAAATTCTTTACTGAAATGTGCTTGCAGATATGGGAAACTGCCCAGTTCAACAGTGACACCATACTTTGACAAAAGCACAGGCCAATCATTATTTAAAATAACACACAAGTACACAAGCAAAAACATAGTTCACCTTGTTCAACGTTTGTCGCTGGATTAAGTGAAGTGTCAATGATCAACAGCCCAGAGAAAGCTGTTGTTTTGTGCTCACAGCACACCCAGTTTGTAAACTATTTCCAGTCTTGTTTTCAGATCATTCCATGTTAAACCAAACACTTTCTTGGGCCAATCTCCCAGATTTTGTTGAAATTTGCTGAAATTCTTCCCCCACAGGCCAAGTGCGGAAGGAGTCCTCGAGGTCATTCTTACCCAGAAAGTCAATACATATTCATATTTCCGTAGTGCTCTATTGCTATTTGCTACATAATTTATCAACCACAGTGCTCCCCTGTTGGTCCATCCAAGGCGTAGATGCCGCCACGTTCATCCTTTTTCTGAGACACAGGGGTGCCAAGCCAAAAGTGGGGAAAATGGGACGGCTGTGGCTGTCTGGGTAAGTATGACCTCAAGGATTCCTCCCGCACTCGGCCTGTGGGGGGAGTGTCCACTGCAGTCAACTTACCCAGGCAGTCACTACATACGCAGATTAACAAAGGATCTCAGAGGTGGGTCAGCAAGGGCACATTTGAGTTAAATGATGGTAAACAACCTAGTGTAGAGACTCACAAAAGGATGGGGTGCTTCCAGTCATCCATTTCAGTGGTGGTCAGTTAATCCCAATGTTGAGGATGTCACAACTGTTTTGCCATGGATACTGTCAGTCTGCAAGACGTCAGTCAGGTAACATGACGTAAAGCTTGAGGGCGACTTCCAGCAGGCTGTTTTGCAAATATCCTCCAAGGGAATGCCTCAGAAGTACGCCCATGAGGTAGAGACTATTCTGATGTCGTGCACCTGGATGTGGAGACTGGTGGCATCATCAGATGGGGATGGCCATTTGGCATAAGCAACTTTAATGGCAGAGACAGCCCATCTGGCTATAGTGTCTCTTGACGTGGGCCAATGACACTTAACCGAAGTGATGGAAAAGTTGAAAAGAAGCACCATGGAGAGTTCTGGTTTTAGCAAGGTACCATATGAGAGTTCGAACCGGACACCAGGGTTTGTCATATGAAGAACCTGAGTGTTTGGTGATGTCAAGAATAAAAGTGTCCGGAGGGTAGAAGGGACTCAGTTTGGTTCTTCATGAGGAAGCCAAAGGAAGGGATGAGACATATGCCAAGAAGTTCCCAGCGGATATGTCCATCAGCAATGGATAGGGTGTGAAGTTCACTGCCCCTCCAAGATGTAGAAACTGCCACGAAAAAGGCCAGCTTCACTGAAGTGTGGAGAAGAGAGGCATAACCACAGATTTGAAGGACTGAAGTGCGAGAAGCTCTAGAACCCAAGGAAAGTTCCATGAGGGGATGAGAAGCCTTGAAGAGGACGCTCAATGAACATGTCGTGAAGGAGATGCTTGTCTGATATGGACGATTCATCTTGAAAGCTGGAGTGAATGGCAGGGATTGCAGAACGGTTAACTGCAGACAATTGTAACTTATATACCAGAGTTGAACAAATGTATGAAGAAATCAGCTACTTAAAATTACCTTCAGAGATGCATTGGTCGAAGCCACACCTTGTTCTGTGTACAATGAAGTAAAATGCAAAAGTCTGCTATAGTACACTTTACACGATTGGATTGTCGTCTGCTTCTGGCGGCCATTGTGGCAGCATCATCAGAAAGGCCAGCTGAGCAGAACCATCATTTGACAATGGCCAGCAGGTCAGGAGAAGAGTCTCTAATCAAGGGACGAGGATGCTGGAGCCCGGTTGATGGAGGAAGTCTGGCCTGAGCAGTAGTTATTAGAGGAGTTTGGTACAAAAGTCTAGTGAGATGTGGGAACCACGGTTGGCGAAGCCAGAAGGGAGCAATGAGGAGGACTTGGCAGTGTTCCCATTCGACTTTGGAGAGTACAGCTGGGATCAGGGATATCGGAGGAAATGCATAAGTAAAATTCCTTGTCCAGCTTAGACAGAGAGGGTCGGTTGCCCAAGCTTGAGGGTCGTGGAACCTCATGCAGAAGAAGAGGTCGATGTGGGGTCTGTTTACAGCCTCGAAGACTGAGCATACCACTTCTGAGTGAAGGGTCCACTCTGTTGGCTGGATGATTCCCCTTAAGAGTGCATCAGTGATGGTGTTAATTAATTTTGGATCTATGCCCTGCCAGACGTGTATTAAAAGTGTCTTTGAAATAGCGATGGTGTTGTTGGATCCCAGGCTGTGCATCACTTGGAGGTTGATCCCATGGTCCAAGATCCAGAGGAGTAATTTTCTTGTAAGGAGGCAAAGGCTTCGGGAGTGCCTGCTCCCCTGACAATTTATGTAAGACACCACTGTTGCACTGTCGGATCAGATGAGGATGCGTTTGTTCTCGATGGACAGATGGAAGTGGCGAAGGGCGCTCAACACCACTTGGAGTTCCAGGATATTGATGTGACTCCTGATATGCGGTGAACCCAAGTCCCTGATGCCTGTAAAGGAGGTAGGGAGGCACCCCATCCCCACTGGGAAGCGTCAGTTGTGATGGCGAGCTGTGGAGCAGGTCTCGGGAAGAAAAGACCTTTGGTGAGATTGGGCTTGACTGCCACCAGCGCAGTTGTGGAATAATGAACTTCGCAACCTGCACAGTCAAGCCTATTGGGTCCTGACTGGGGCAGAAGAATGCCAGCAGGTGGAGTTGAATTGGATGCATGTAAACATGGCAGAAGGGAACCAGGTCCACAAAACTCGCCATGAGTGCCGCGCCGAGTGGCAAGGAAGAAAGAGGCTGACACAGGCAATAAAGTTGGCAATGCACAATCCAGAGCAGGAGTTGTGATGCCCTGCTGGAGGTCGAGAGTTGCCCCAAGGTAGGTTGAATGCCGAGTGGGGTAGGTCATGACTTGTCATGGTTTACAAGAAACCCAAGACTTGTGGACTGGTCATAGACGAGATGAGTGGAAGCTGTAACCTTGAATGCGGACCTACAGACAATGAACTAGTCATCCAGGTATTGAAAGATCAGGATGCCTCGACAACGGAGGTGAGCCACGATAGACCTGACAATGCACATGAACACTCTAGGGGACGTCGAAAGGCCAAAGGGAAGTGCCACAAATTCGAAGATTTGGCCTTCGTAAATGAAGCATAAGAACTTTTGGTCCTTGGGGTGGATCAGAATGTGCAGGTAGGCATCCTTCAGATCCACTGTAGAGGCCCAGGCTGGAATTAGCAGGGACTGGGTGACTGTTTGCAAGGTCTCCATTAGGAAGTGCCGCAGGCAGATGAATTTATTTAGTGGCTTGAGGTTGAGAATTGGACACCAAGAGTTCAGCTCCTTCGTCCGAGTGAGGAAGAACTTAAAAAAAAAAATTCACAGGATGGATGAGAGACTGGGGCAATGGCTCATTTCTATAGAAGGGAGCTCATTTCCAACTCCAAAGTCTGGCTTTGGTTGGAGTTCATGGGGATCGGAGTCAGACAGGGGACGTGGGTTGGATGAATGGGTGCTCGTGAACTCGAGAGAGTAGCCGAAGGAGATTGTCTCAAGAACCCAACTGTCCAACGTGATGTCCTGCAAAAGCCCAGTGAGAAGTCACAGTAGGTCCCCAATGTGCCCAGGAGCAGGGGCCAATAGTGAGCTGATGGAGTAGTTGAAAGAGGAGCTGTCTCTTGAGGTCAGGGGACGAAAGGAGCTCAAGGAATAGTGGGAATCCTGACCGCGAGGTGGAGCAGCTCTAGGTGGAGGAGGAGCTCAGCGGGCTGGAGCTGGCTGATGGGATCGTGCAGGGGGCAAAGGAGAATCCAGGAATGAAATCTTGTGAGATGGCTTGATCTACTTAGCCTCAGATTGCAGGGTCTTGGTGAACTGACCCGCAAATTTGTCTTTGCCATAGATGGGAAGGTTTGGAAAGTATCTTTAAAACCTGGATATGGAATGTGCATTGTCGCCATAGTGTTGGCGGGCAGGATATGAGTGAGAGCCAGAGTGATGTTCTCTTCAAGGGGCCAGAGGGTAACGGCTGGAGGTTCGGTGCCAAGGGTGAATCGTCCTCACAGGCACATGACAGGTATTCCGTGAGAAAGGACAGAAAGGCTTTACAGTGAAAGCCGTGACGTGAAGCTTTGTCGAGCCTGGTTAGAATAGAGTCCAGCTTGGCTTAAGATCTGTCCAGAAATGGTTCATTTCCACATGGACGAGATTGTGAGTCGGTGACTATCTTGTCCTTAGCAGCTGATAGAAGGTCTGGGATAGAGAGAAAGTCCACAGTGTCTGACTTGGTGAACTGAAAATAGTTTCGTGCCCATCCCTGGGAAAGTATGCCACTTTTGGTGGAATAGAAGACCTTGAATGTCTCAACGCAAGAGCGGTTTAAAAGGAGGACTGTGAAGATGGGCAGAGTTATCTCCAGTCTGGCCGCATGCTGCTTGAAAGAAGGGTGGCTTATTGGCAGTGGAGTAGGGAGGCCTAGGACTTCAACAATGTCATGCTGACGTATGCGAAGACGGGACTTGGGAGGAGTGAGGCTTGCCACGGAGTCGATGTTGCCTTCCCTAGAAGAAAATTCACAGACGTCCTAGGAGGAGCAGTGCAAGTCTCCTTAGGTATACGAGACCGGAGGTAGAGCAGGTTCGGCAGCATGGTGATCGGTAGCAAGGGCATCTGAGCCAGCGTTGAAGATGGAGGCTTGTGCGACATAGGCAGGATTCTTTGGTGGGGAAGGTCGTGGCCACAGCACAGCAGGGAGTGGGTCCAGATCTGGGGCCATAGCGGCGGAGGGTTGTCTCGGTTGCTAATGGCTGACACCAGGCTGGAGATAGTGCCCAAAAGAGACTGGAAAGCCATAGCGAGAAAAGCAGCATCCCATTGCCCAGATGAGCGTGATTTCTTAGTGGAGGACCCTGCCGAAGAGGACAATGATTGTTTGCGCTTCTTATGGCCAGGAGAGACAAGGAGAAATTCACCGCAGAGGTACGGTTGGTGATAGCGTCTGCAGGCTGGTCAGGTTGTGGGCCACCAAGCAGTGAGGGTTGGTAGACCCAACTCACGAAGGTGACTGGTGCACAGGGTGGAGGGCCCAGACCCGGGTGGGTGAAACTGCGGGCTTGCGGGAGCCTTGACAGCATAGGTGGGTTCGGCCGTTCTGGCTGTGATGATTGATCTGCACTCTGGTGACTCTTTCAACGGGACAGCCCCAGAAGTGATGGGAAAATGGCACATGCTTTCGCCCTAATATGCTTCACGCCTGTGTGCTCTTGCATTGGATGGTAGAGGTGTGAAGCAAGCAGAATCAGAGGCATGGGCTCGCCTCTGTGGGGTGTTCTCAATGCCATACTATCCAATGATACCGAAAACGCTACAGCTACCTCACAACAGTCCAGTGGCCTCCAATCCCTTGGCTGGGAAAAGGGCTCAGAGAGCCCTATTTCAAACAGGGGACTGGGGCGACGTCAGCCCGGTCCTCTTGATCCCGTGTGTTGCTCAGGATGGTGAGCCACCGAGACACCCAGCTTCTGAACTGGTGTTAATCACACTGAAAGCAAATGGGGTTATCACAGTGGGGTTACCGAGTTATTGGAACTGATATCGGCTCTGAGCAGATGTGCCCAGATGTGCCATAAAAAGTAATGGTGAGGGAGACTAACAAAACAACTAGAGAGCATGAGTGTCCGGGGGAAAAAATCAAATAAGCTGTAGGACTCATAACCAGAAATGCACTATAAAGGTGACAACTGACCCAGGGAATAAAATTATTGTAACAAGGGGGCCAATGAAGACCTGTAAAATACAGACTCTGCTAAGAAGAGCACCATACAAATAATGGGACTGTCGTACAAGTAACAATGTAGATACAGCAATAATACATGTTTTGACATAAAAGCAAATGTGACATAAAAGTGATACAAAAAGATCAGCTTTAGCGAGATGGAACACTTGATAAAATCGAGAAGGTCGAAAGACACATCTCTAAGCAAGAGCGCCCCAAAAAAGAAGGACGAACATGGCAGTATCTACACCTGGGATGGACCGATGGGGGCACACTATGGTTGATGAATTATTTAGCAAATAGCAATAGAGCACTGGGGAAATATTCATATGTAGTAACTGTCTTGGTCAGTTGACTGCGGTGGACTTGCTTGATCATATGAGAAACTTCCAGAATCCTAATTTCAGTTCATTTTTTGAGGAGGGGGGTCAAGTGGTTTACTCTGACCTTTCCATTTGTTCTCCATTAACTCTGAATGCCTGTATGGCTGTATCTCTATACAGAAATGTCAGATAGAGATGATATTCATCTTACATTCAAAGCCCACAACCAAAGAATCTTATTACAAATTATGTGACAATTTAAAAGCTTAAAATTCAACATGTTGAGCAAAATAACATTTGACCATAGGACCCTCACAGGTTGCACAATTTCTTTTTTTACATTTTGCTACAAGAGATTCCCAAGTATAATCCCTGTATTTGTAAACTATTCAGATGGGATTCCAAGGCATTTGGATGGGGAATAAGTTTAAAGGAGAGTAGTATTCAAGCCAAACTGCATTAAACTGTGCAAAATGCCTTTTGAGCTACGTAGGGCCAATTTAGCATTATAAACAAAAATAAAAATTGGGCAAATGAACACACGATTCGAATACATTTGTTATACCACGGTAATAAACTGTGAATTTTTCATGGTCCAGAATCGATCACATCAAATGCCACTAAACAGCCTACACTGAATTGCAAAAGTGTAAGCGATGTTTGCCATGCTACATGAGTGATTCATCCCACGGGGGAATGTCACCTTATCTTTCCCACGGTTGAAAGTGTCATTCCACTGCATGTGATGTTCTGTGGGGGACAGAGAATCACTATTTCTGATATGACTGCCATTGTTGTTTACATCATTACTTTTTGTACCTGGGTCACTTTTGTCCTAATTTCATGGTCATGTCAGCAGATGACAGCAAGTTGGGTTTTAAGAGAATTTTCTTTCGTTTCCAAAGCAGCTAGGATGACAAATATGATGTTTGTGTAGGACAGCATCAGCATAAAAAAATATGGAACATTCTGCGCATGTGGAATTACAGTGGTTCCTGCATTTCTGTCACCACGGACTTGATGAGGGCCCCCCCAGTTTCAGATGTTATGTTTGACAGAATTAGATAGATTTTTGAAAGGTTTTTTGGAAATGTCAGGACAGAAATGGTAATCCCTACAACTTATTCATTTTAGTTGAATTTATGAAACTCAATACTTTGTTCAAGAATGTGACAAGTCGGCCTGCTTTTGTCACCTGCTTCCTTCACTATTCTCCCTACTTATTTTCCCTTTTCTCCCTAGTGTAGAGTGTGATCGACCTACTTGGATCATCTGAACCTACTACTATCTCTCTCAGAAATTTCTTTTCTCCATTCTATATCTCCATAGTCAAGCATTCACTCTGCATTGTGCTGTGTAATATAGTAGTATAAGCAATTGAGCCATGTCGAGTACCCTCTGCTGTTGCATTGATTCATTTGAACATCACTCTGCATTGCACTGTTGCAAATTGATGCAGCTATGTACTACAGCCATGCGGGTGCTGAATAGACCCTTGTTGCTGCCCAGCATTCTTTGCCCAATATGTGAAGCTTTAGTGTTGCCCCACCCTCTTCTGTTGGGTGTGGGTTAGTTGCTTGAGTTGTTCAACAAATGAATCACTTTGCTGTGAAATGAAATGCACTGTGGTGCAGTAAAATGTATTTCACTTCATTCCATTACATTCATCAAAGTGTTATACCACGGTACAACAAAATAATTGTCTGTTGTGATGGGGTCTACAGTATACAAAAGTGCGACTCAGACAGTTTAGGAGACAAGTCAAATTTAGGGACGTCCCCGTGGTGAGCTATGTCATGGGGAGGAGTCTAGGTGCATGCAGACAATGCATGTACATAGGGGTGAGATGTGATTGGCTGCTACGGTTTAATATAGTTTAACTTTCCTGCTCTCCTTGAAACATAGTTCCAATCTAAACACCTTGACATCCCATTTGAATATGTTGCAAGCACAGTAAGAATTAATGCTTAGAACTTTATTTTGGCAAAATTTTACAAACCGTTTCTCACAAGGGGTCAAAGGTCCTCATGTTGAATGCTATTGTACATACAAAATCTGCAAGGAAGATGTTTCTTAGGTTATGAGCTTTGATTGAAGGTGAAAAGTTTCTATCTGACATTCCTATCCAATGACAAAGGTACTCATAAATGACAGTAACAATTTATGTCAACAGTTCAATGGCCTGTAACACACAAACTACATGACCAAAACACTGAACATTGGGTTTGGGAATTTCCTCATATTACAAAACAAGTTCAGCAAATATCAAGGAAGTCTGTGTGATTGATCACCAAGGTCTTTGACTTGACAAAGAATTATAAAACTACAGGTTCCTTTTAAAATACATCATATTTTGAGCCATATTTATTTCTGCTGCATAGTTTTGATTTCCAATATGTTTCACTTTTTTACCCTCTTTTTTTGTCAACTCCAATAAAACGTTTACTTTGTACCTTTTATTTCAAACAAACTAAAAATAAAAACATGAAATCAAGTCTAAGAGAAGCAAAGTTTTGTGGTTTGTGTTTGAAGGGCAATACCTATCTCAATTTTGAGGGAATTTTGTGTCAAGTTATAGAAACATCAACCTTCACCAAGTTTAGCGTCAGTTTTCACTGACTATTATTTATATATGCCAGTTGGGTGTATAACTACTGGATTGGGGTGTAGCTACAGAATGGGGAGAGTTGCATGTCCAAAATGGAAGTTTGTGCCCCCTGACCCTACCGTTCCATTTGAAATTTTAAAATGTGCACAACCTATGTGCAAACCAGTTAATCTGCCTACTTAGAGAAATGTGTTATTCAGGATGCTCCAACAGAAATTTCATCTTAGGTTTCCCACTGATTTCTAGCGTTTATTAAAATATGTGACCTGAGAAAACTGATGACTTTGAACTATTTCAAGCCCACAACAAATGACAATGATTGAATGAAAAAAATTACAAATGGAATTACATGACTTTTCTGGCCTTGGCAATGAAGACAGGATTCCACATACACATTTAGAACAGGGAGAGGATAAGATCCTATTTGCATATTTTCTCACCTGACATCTGAGCTCACAGTTGGCCCCTCTCCCTTGAAGCATCAACACAAATTCCCTTCTTGTTATTGCTGTATGATCTCCTGGTTTTTCATTGAGTTTAATCATTTCCTCCAGTGGTTTGTACAAGGATGTGATACCAAAAAATATTGCTTCTTCCAAGACACCGGCTGGGTTAAGTCCACTGTCCAGAATAAGTTGTCCATGTCGAAGATAATTGAGAACAGGTTCGAAGTACGACGGACTCCTGTCTATTAAGTAGGCACCAGAATGATCAACTGAACTGTGCCATGGTAAACCGAACTCTGAAACAAACCCCAAATTCATAAGCCCATGAGCTTTTTATCAACCACCTGATCATTACAAAAATTTAAACAAGAGATAACGTTAACTTCAGTTTTCCAAGTGACAAGTAATACCATCTGTTACAATATTCAACAGCTATCAAAGATCAACATTCGTTGATCAAAAACAAATAACTCAACAGTTATTACATGTCCTTACACTCAGACTCAAAATAATGGGACTTCGAAGACAATTTATTGTGTTTACGCCACAGCCAAAGAATAGTGTTTTATTCCTGAGACCAGAGATAGGGCATGCCAGTTGAACTGCCAATTGTTATTGCGACAGGTCATTTACATATCCCTCGGCGCAGCACCCTTGCTTGACCCTTGAGGTAAACCTCAGACTTAGCCTTTGTCTTGAGTGAGTCATTCCACCACCAGCACTGGTACTGTTCAGACCACACATAGCATTTTGCGTTATTCTCCACACATGTATGAGGTGTACTCAGTTGCCTCAAGATTTCTTGGATGACTCGACTGGGGTAAGAATTCATTTACAATGTATGATGTTTAGTAATTGTTCTTATCTTTAAAGTTTCTTAGTCTCGTAGCCTCTGTGAACACTTTCTGATTAATTTGGAGGTTAGCTCAAGTGTTACTCTGGTTACTGAATGAGTGGATTCATTGATGATAGTCTTGGGAAACCTAGATTCTGTGTTGTTGTAGCTACTGCATATTAAGCAAAGATCACCATTTTGATGACTTTCTTTTTTTAGAGAATTATTCTATTTCCATGGATTTGAAAGAATTAGAATTTCCTTACTTTGATATACATTCACTTTATTTCTTGTTCGCAAAGTTTAGTTGACTTCTCAAGTACGCATAGTTCAAGAATAGGTTTCCTTATTTTACTGCATACATATAACCCAACTCTCCACTTTTCCTGTTTTTATTCTTAAATTCATGCTTTTAGTGTATAAATTCATAGTTCCTTTGTTCTGTGTAGATGTCCATAATGCAGTATAGTATAGCCACCAGTAGAGCATATATAATCAGGTGCACACAGTTTTTTGGAAACATTCTCCTGATGACGAGCAGAGCATACTGCTCGAAACGTTGAGTACTACTGGTTCTTTTCAGAACCGCAAATACTCATGTCCATGACGTATAAATACTTAGTACCACTCTGAGCCTGAAGGACCTAGCGCTACAAATTACATTTCTGGCTAGGTTTATTCCATTGTTACTCGTACAGAGAACAATGAAACCATGCATTCATAGTGCCACAGCACTGTACGGTACATTGTCTTCTCTATTGTGTTTTATGGCTTCAGAGAATAATAATGTCATGTCCTCTTACAAGCGACAGGGCTGAGTACTACATTTTACTACTAAGTAGTACTTTGTAGCATTCGGGACTGTTAGGGTTAATAATGGGCAACACCGGTCCCAGGAATGGACAATTTCAAAGGCCCAAAGCCATAGCGGCATACATGAACACTATGCATACATTACAAAACATGGCATTAGAATGAACATTTCCTAAACACATAACTGCAAGACAGTGAGGGCAACATGGCCTAGAGAAACATCTGGCCAGACCAATAACAGGCAACCATGTGCCCAAAGCCACAGCAGCATACACGATATTAATGAAATATATGACATTGAAATATATGGCAATGACAACAAACAGACAGAAAACATGAATAAAAGACAGCTTCCCTCAGATAGTACATTCAGTTAGGAAAACGTAGCCTCATGAAACTTGCGAGCACTACAAAAATTTAACTAGTTTATTAGTCCAATAAATACGTGGAGTTAAGTTACTGGCTGTCTGCCTTCTAAAATACTACCACCCACACAACACAAGCCCAAGGAGACAGACAGTCAGGTCGATTAGGAAATGACATAGTCAACTAGCAATATGGGACAAAATACACTCCTTCAAAGTGGACGTGAAGATATGGTTACCCACTAGGGATAAATGCATGCCATCATACAAAAATATGGAGAGGACTCTCTGCCCGGCAAATAATTGAGTCACTGATGATCCAAATGGAATCTGGAGTAGAAGTGTTAACAAAATGTATACAATCAGGGCTAGCCCTGACCACTAGTTTAGGCTGGTCAGGTCATGGCTAACTCCAGGCCACATCTTAGTACTACAAAGTGGTAACGGGCGTATTATACAAAAAATGCATCAGAACGCCAGCACCTCACTGACTGAATATCAGTACTGGCCATCCCCATATGCAATGCAAAAGATGCAGCCCCAATGTGAAAGAAATGGCCTTTGATTGCAGGTTCCCTAGAAATGCAAGAGCTCTTTGCAATACTTTAATGGAAATAACTCTCATCCAGGGTTGCTTTTCTATGGCATGAATGTACTTTAACTACGTGTATGTGTGGTTCTGGGAGTGCCAGAG